TTAAATTTCAACATGTGATTTCATTTTATTGACTTATGATTGGTTGGTTAATGTAATAAATGAAATTATGTTCTGTTTTTCTTTATAACTCCTCTACCTGACTATTAATTCATGTTAGTAATGGACATTAATCGATTATTATTTTTGCTTTGTTTTTATTGACTCAAGGATGCTTTTAGTTCATATCATAAATATATGTATAAAAGTAAAGAAGTCTCAATGTATATAAAATAAAGGGTTACTTTGTTTTCTTATGTATACGATAATTAAGATGGATATTGGATATCTTATGTATTGGTTATGAAAATAGATTTTATGACAGTGTAAACAGTTTGTTAGTAAACTTTTTTAGTCTTTTCTGTTCATAACTATTGTGAACGAACATTAGATTAAGATAATACATATTCACATAAAATCATGAAAGTACTTTTTCAATAGGTTTTAATTCTGAATTTATAGTTTCTCAATGACTGTTCCCACCTTCCATTAGAACCAATACAATAGACAGTTGATTGTGATTCTCAGGTACTTTGCTTATTGAGTAAACTGGATTTCTTAGTTGGCAAAATTCTTTCTGTATAGTATGGGATTACAATCATGCGAATGGTGATGTCCACTTAAGTAAATCGATTTAACATGTAATCAATTTTACACATGCATTTCATATCTATAACGTCAGTGGGTATAGCTTTTAAGAGTTTTAAATCCGTGTCACTGAGCGCTACTTCTATTAAATAACGTATAGAATTCCACTTGATTTTTCCAATTTGGCTGACAGAGATAATTGTTTTCCTACTTAATATTTGAACCTAGAAATAATTGTCCAATAATTTTTATTCAGACAAATGTGTAAGACATGTTGATACAACATCTTCAGCTTACGAACGTTTACAGACTAATCATAAATAGCAATTTTATAATTCGATTATCAATATTCTTAGTTAATTCATATAGAATAGATTGAATGTGACTAGCACTAGTATCACAAATGCACGTTTCGTCCTATTTTAGACTCGTTACCTGGATGGACATTTTGTAAAATAAGTGTGTGAATTGAAAATTTCTTCTTCTAGCCAATTGGAAAGATATAGCAAGACGTTTGTTGTCAGTAATCATGTCCTTGAATTTTATCTCATACCTCCTAGTCCAACCAAAAACTATATCTCATCAAAACAAACTGGTTTGCAATCCGATAATCCTAGTATTGCGATCAACAACGTCCAAATTAACCGATGACTTGATTTTAAAGACAACAGTTAATTTCGAGCAGTGACAGAAGATTCACCCTGAGGCGTCATAGTTCTTCCTTTAACTTCCAGGGCAGAGTTCAAATGGTTTAACTTGTTTATTCTGGTTGGTGCTCTTTTACAAGATCCTTTCTACGGGATGGGGTTGCCAAACCCTCCCATTTCACCCGGGCTTGGGACCAGCAGTAATTCTAGCAGAGCTAGAAGCGGAGTTGGATGGCGAGTGCTGGTGCGCGGCCTATGTTCCTCGATGACGAGTTACAGGCGTAAGTAAAGTAATTAAGTAAAGACAGACGATTCAACTGAACCAGGATGCATACCCAATCTATTCAAGTATCCAGTAAGTGGATATATCCCAAATAGTCATAAGTCATTAGACCACAACACATCACGGATATGAAATTTCAATTCATCCACATCCAAGGCAGAAGTGATGAAAATCGGAGCAACCGGTCGATATTTAATTAGTAATCACTCAAGATTAGTCAAATTTATAACAACAGTGTTTATGAGTCTACTGGAAGTTGAAAATAAGAGAAATATAAAATACAATGGTCCAGCTATTTAACTATTATGCAATGTAAATATGAACAATAACTTTTCAAAAACTAACTAAACGCAACACGTCTTCCGATATTCACTGTTTCCTACCAATGAGGTGCAGATTAGAACAGAAGACCTCAATTTCTGTCAGTTGTTTGTCCGTACGAATGCATGCAAACTCAAACGTAGTTGGTAGCACTTTATTACTCTTGATATGTTTGGTGATTCGAGTTGGTTGACAATAAACACTGAACCTAGATTTGGTGCCATATGGAACTGGCTAGCAAAACGAACCTGTAATACTGAGGGAATGGATTGATCGTGATGAGTTTGATGCCGTGACACTCGTCTCCATATTTTGCGGTGTTAGTACTGTGTTAATCAGATGGAACTGAGGTTCTGTACAACTGATATATTTATAGTTGATTGATCGCTATTGAGTGACTAATGTCTTTTGTGTTTATGCTATCGGGTTATTCACCGAGTCTTCTAGCCTCAAGATATGATTCCTATTTCCAATCTGCTCAGCGGAAGATTAATTAGGGTATGAAACCTGAAGTTCTTCAGGAATATTACTAAATTCTAGCACTTTATCTTAATTAATTGGAACTGTGTTGATCATGTAATCTTTGTATTATATATTACTGAAAAGCACGATCCACATTATTTCGTCTCAGTATACTTGAACATTGGTGATAAACATTAGTGTTAACAAATAGCACAAATGTTAAATGAATATATCCTCTCTAATGACTTGTATTGAGATGGTTGTCAGAGTTCTACTGAACCAATGAGCTGCTCAGGGCCGATAATACTATGTAGTAGTCTTGATAGACGTGAAGTTTGACGTTGGAAATGTGAAACATAAGATGATCATTTTGTAATACCAATGTATATCACATAACCTCATACACCTGAAGATCTTAAGCATTGTATCTTAACTGGAATTGTATTAATCATGGAGTTCTTAAGACGTATGTTGAAGAATAGTACTGTCCTTTGTTTTGTGTATCAACACAAGATATATGTATAAATAAGGGTATTAAAATAAGTAATCGATAATAGCAAAGTAAACAAATAAGCACTGCAACGAACAGTCTCATTTTGCTTACAACGTATTCTACAAAAAACGTTTTATCAAATAAGATTTGAGATTTTATAAGTTTAGCTAATAATAAAATGTTTGCAATCATAATTTGTTGTTTACAAAAAACTGTATATCAATGAATACCTTCTAATGAAATTGGGTTTCATATGATTGCATAAAACACATCAATCCTCAAGTAACATATAAATAAAATTAAATTAATGTAATTTCTTTGGATCTCTAATTGTTTATATTTTACGGTAGTTTTGGATTACTTTTCATGAAGTGATTCACCGTTTATTCGAAACAACTATTGTAAACATTTTAAATTTCATTTTCAACACAGATGGTTATTAATTGCAAACTGGTCGGAAAAAATGACTATTTCATCAATGATTAAGACTTTTCAACATTTAGGACTCACGATCCCATACAAGATCAAACTACTGAGTTGAGTGAAATAATAATGGAGTATCTTTATATCAAGTGGTGACCAATGAACGTGTGGTTGATAAACATAAATAATTATGTCGACTTATTTTATCCACTTGAATCCTCACCGGTATTGTTTTGTCGGATCTCAATCTACACACGATTCATATTCTGTTGATAAAAATTAAATTATCAAATATCTTAACCTTAAATATGATAAATGGGTAGTGAAACAGTGTGATGATGTATTCAATATGGAATTTAAATATTGGATTTTGATTATAGCCGTGCGTTTTGTTGAAAGCAAGCACAAACTGTGTATAATTGAAAGTGTCCTGTAAAAAACGATATCTTTGATTAACTACTGCCCTAACATACATCAACACTTCAATTTCATTCATTGAAAACAATTCTCAATCGATAGAAAAAAATAGGATTAGTTATTCTTGGTGGAGTTTTGTTCTCTGAGGTCGATGGTTTAGTAGTGAAGTTTTCATCGTTCTTCTGAACGTTATCATCAGCACAAACTTCAGATAGAAGTCTACCAAAATCGTCCAACTGAGCTACAAATCTGCTCTAGGATTAGTTGTATTTCATCATACATGAGAATATTCATTTAAATTTTTCAAAATAAACAACAACACTTAAAACATTTTAGAACATCCCCAATAATTAATACATAGAAGAAATTATTAAAGAAAATTTCGTTCTGTCTTAGCTAATAACATGTAATATGCATTTTTTTGCCACTTTTATAAGACGAAGATGGTTCACAAATATCAGTATACATTTGATGGTTATTTCGTATTAGTTTTCTGGATATCTTGATTTTCATTTATTTAATCGCTGATGTCCATCCAAGATGAAAATTAGTCATAGCAAACAGTTAAATTGTTAAAAAACTATGTCTTCTCTAATAACTTACTCTGAAATGGGTTTCACAACTCTACTGAACCAATGAGCTACTCAGGAATGATGATGTTTTATGGTATTCGTGATAGATCTATGTTTGTCCGAGGTTGTTTATGTAATCCAAAAGATGTTTATTGTGTGATGTGGATATATCATGATAGCTCAGAAACTTGAAAGTTTTAAGTTCAAGTATGTTTAATTTTGTGCATGAATACTGCTAGGAAGTTTCAAACTAAAATGAAACACTTGTTCATTGACCTCAGATTTCAACCATTCTCTTGTTAATGTTACTTTGTGGGGAATATTATTTTGATAATAAATATCTTGAGTTTATTGAAGACGTTAATAATGATTACAAGATGATGTAAAAGATTAGTACTCCAGGTGGGTGATTTAGATGGAACTGGATAGTTTGGTCATTGGACATTCATTGTTTTTCTGAGCATCATTAGCACGAAGTTCGAACACTTCACTTCTATCTGGATTTTTTACTAATGATGTTGTCCGAAAGAATAATGAGAGCTTCAAGTCGAAACAATCCAGCTCAGAGAACAAAACTACACCAACGTTATTAATGATGTAATACTAATTGACCTTTTATCTTGTCTTTTTCAGACTTTAAAAGACTATCAATTACTTCGAGACGAAATGGACTTCGGTTGGTTAGCATAAGCGAAATATCTCAAATATTTTTTTATTCTTCACATTATACACAATATGCAAATGTAATAAAACTTAAGTCTTACCAAATTACTTTACGTTTGTGAACTCCTGACAATATGGATTGGAATAAAAAACATCTGAATTTAAATGAGAGCACTGAGTTTGAATCACTCATAACAATTGAGCCAATGGAAGTGAACAATATTGTACAGGATCCACTAAATTTAACCTTCGAAGAATATGAAGTAAGTAATGTAAGCGAAACTATTGATGCATAACTGATTTCGTTAATTTCACTATGAAATAGATCTACGTTGTAGTGATTTCTAGCCAAGCCATAAATATTAGTATATATTATACATAGTATTGGATTTATTGGGAACAAAGTATCACAACTTACACACCACTGTTGCATTTTGAAGATTCTTCCAATTTCACTGATAATACACCTTGATGATTAGAGTCTAGTAGCACGAAATTCAAATCTCAGAATTCATACGAAATCTCACTAACCAATTATTTTGTATTTTTCCCCGATCTGAAATTCAAACAGTAGAGGTCAATACAAACAATGGTACTGTTGATTGTTAAGTCATGTGAAATGTAAGTCTATCACGTACAGATTTTTATGATTTCTGTTAGGAATGTGAATAAATGCTTGACGATACAAAAGTGAGTATCTGATTTCCAGTAGAGAATAAGGACGAAGAGGGTTAGGTTGGATGATAAGGATGGGTTATTTAGAAGTACGAACGGATTATTACCTAGGAATCGATGGATGCATAGTTTGAGTGTGTTACTAGATTTCAGTGATAAAGAAGCTATCCATCATTATCGTGCACACGTAGTCACATAGGTCTCATACTGTACCTTCAGTTCCGACTGTTTCCAATTTATCGACATAAAAGCTGGAGATTACATTCAACTCACATATCATTCTATGCACTGTTATTTAATTTCCTTCAACATTATTTTTCAACTTAATCAACTCAAAAGTTTTATGATTATACTTTGATATTTCTAATGAATTATTCATTCGATCATTATCTCTCAATTCAGTATTCACTGTTACTTCCATCAAATGTGATTCTACCGTATTACATTTTTTAAAGAACAGTGAATCATGTTACACTGTTTGTCATTCATTGTTTATACAGTTTATAATATGTAAGGTTTCCATATCAATAAGCAGTTACTTTCTCTCTTAATAAACGTAATACTAATCAGTGACTAATCTAGTGACATAAGTTATCTGAATCACCTTACCGATTGACAAACTTATTAAAGTATTGAAATGTTACTGTTATCGTTGTTTATTTGGCTTATTGATTGGCTTCAAGTTTAAAAAAATTAATGGTGACCTGTGAAGAAGAGATGTATTAATTTACGGCGTGACTATAGTTTATGGACGAAGCAATAAAATTAGACAATGAGTCTTGGATTTCGGTGCGGAATTCATTTAAACATATGGTTATATAGAATTATGTCATTATTGTCGATGTCAGTTCGCGATGAAAACCCTTACTATCATTCCTTACCCTAATCCAACTCTAAATACTAATTATAATTCTTCACGCTAATTAATAACTGATATAGTGACCCAGTCAGAAGTAGCCTAATGAGGAGGCCAGTCGATGATGATCAGTATTGACCTGAAGGACAATTGCACTTCATTGGCCAGGAAATGGATTAATTTCGTAAAGGGTAGAGTTGTATAAATATGAGTATTTGAGCGTTTATCCGATAGCCTAATGTGCCTTCTCGCTCAAGTAGTCAGTCGCTAGGTTTAGCGCTTAGCACATCGTGCATCACTATCAGATTCCGGACACCTGTCACAACAATAACGCACTTTTGAACATAGCAAATTAGCGAATTTTCCCAATATTTCTTAAGCGTCACTCGAAGTCGTCCAAAAACTACAGTCTTACCTTAAATTACACCAGTGTTTGTATCTTCATCTTGACTCATATTCTGTATGCACTAATTCAGCCATTAAATTGTAAAGTTACGTTGAGTAACTAATGGTTATCTGTGCTTTCTAACCATTAACAAGCTTTTAATTCTACTATGAACTTCAAAAAATAAAAATGAGGTTATTCTACAGCTTCTTACGGATTGATTACATGCTATGTTTCTAGCGCTAATAAGACTTCCATCAAATATATTGAGATTATCTTTTAAACATTCAGTGATTTGGACAATATTGATTAAGTATGACCTTATGCTGAACTCAATATGTATACAAAATGTTATTCAGAATGGTTTGTATTCAGTAGGTTGGTTATAATAAGGAACAAACAAAAAGAAACTTCATCAGTATTTAGTGGAATTCGACGATTGTGACGAAGTGAATTCTGACAATTTGATTATTTATGGTAGAACTCAAGCACCACGCGTCAGTAGAATATAAGCCTGTGAAACCAGTAGGACTTTGATTAAATTCGAGGATTGTAATCACTCTATATTAATGCTGATAATGTGTTAGAATGAAATCCGACATACAACGTGTCATTTATTTACTTAATTCTAAACCTAAATAAGAAATCAATATATTTTATTACGATAGTTCTGATTTCACTGTAATATTAAGCACCAAATGATGTTATTTTTAAATTATTTAAAGATGATAACTACTTGGTAGATGTTTTTACCTAGTTTTGAACTCTTCGATTACATACACAAGTAAAATCTCATAGATAATCGGGTCCAGAACATGTAAGTGATACATTTGTTTACTGTTTTCTAGTACATCCAGACTTTAAAATTTTTGGATCTGAATGAACATGACTCACAGTTCACATTAATTCAAATCAGTTAACGTTTCCAAATTTACCATATGTCTTGTGTAAATTTTTGACAAGATTAATAACTATGAAGCTTATCATCATTTCTCGTGGAAACTAGACAAATGAATAGATTGATAGTTGTTTTCATCTTTTTTAGATTTAACAAGTACAATAAAATGAATGTTTAATCTTTTTAGAGTAAGAAGTCAAAAACTAGTTTGGGATAAAACCAAAGTGTTGTTGAATTGATTGCTTACGAGATTTATAGAATAAAGCGATTGTGGTTAGTAGCAGAATCTAGAATGGTAGTTTTGTTCTATTCGATACTTGTTAGCAGAGTGTACTTATATTTTGGCGATGATCTTTACAAATGGAATCGAGCCGAATACGTTAGCTTTCATTAATAGGCTGCTAGTTTAATATATTTGTATTTTGCTAAAGAAGCTCGGTCTTCATTTTCCAAGCTCTGTGTTTGCTTAGGGTTGTCTTTAAAAATGTGAGTTATGTTTGCACTAAATTAACTATAGTTCTTGATTTGTGGGAAAAATTTGAATTGCGCAGGCATAGCCCTTTCTAACGTCTGATTATAATGTAAAATGCTTTTTAACATTAGGTGTCTATTAGCGTAATTTATGAAATCGTTATGCCATTGTAAGCTTAGCTTGATTAAAACCTTGTATAAGAACTTGTATCTGATTCAAAACGATAGTCTTCAACAGTCAATCTTCAAATGTTATCGTTTAGTATCCTTTTCACGACTATTTAATATATAGATTTCTGAAAAGAAAAAGTTTTATTATTAGTAGAGATAGCACCTAACAGTGGAGTCCAGGACGTGCATTTCGTCTATTTGGGACATTTCTGTTGGATATACCGAACAGGATGTACATATATCAATAGAAAACTATTTAATTGCGGTCCTTCACATCAACAGAAATATTCAAACAATCAGTACAATAATCGATTATACATATCATAAATACATAACACAAATTGCTATTCGGGTAAGTGAAAATGAAATTCCAAGCCACTTAAATTGATGATAGTATTATTTGAAGACTATACATTCAGGTAACTTATTTTAATGTTCTGCTTATTCTAATATCTACCTTTTTAAACAGACTTCGCAAACATCTGATTCAGTTCATGTATTCCCGAGTGAACCACGTGGAGTATTAAAAAAGAAACCTCGTTTCGCTGTTCCAATTATTATTGAAAGTGAAGTTGAAAAGCAAGATGTAACTGACAAAGTAAAATCTTTTATAAATGAAAATGAACTAGTTGAACAAGTAAGTTTGATAAAATTTAATTTAAATTTTACGCCTTTTATCTGATGAAAATTTTGTTGATTCCAAACTGTAAAGTTAACTTTCTAATGAGTCACTTATTAAATTGATCATTCATCATTCATTATCGCCTAATTTTCAATAATTTATCTGTTGGAAGCAATATGACTGAATATTCGGTAGGAATCAGTCGTCCTTGAATCAATCATTAGGATTCGAATAACGGTTATCAGTGGATGTAATTGTCATCTAGTATAAACTCAGTTATCTAAGAGAGGAAGACTCTGTTTGTCACTTTTACTAACATATTCACAAGTAATATCTAACTGAAAAACATTTATATATTACTAGGGACATCATAATTATCACCTGAATGTATATTGTTCCGATTTACCTTAAGTAGTGATTATTTTAAACTTTTTGATTTCTCATTATTCCACTGATGATTTCAATTTGAAACGTCAACGATTTAACTTTTAAAATAAAACTGATTTTCTCTATGAATCGCATATGTTTTTTGTAAACATTAAATTTTTGCTTCGTATTGTTTATTACTCTTAACAATTGGATTCACTTAATCTAAAAAACATACATCGGGTATTGAATATCTAAAGGAGCCAGGTAGTAGACAAACCTTTGCCTATACACTGTTTTTGATGAAGCTTTCTAAAAATGTCTGTCTGTAACAATAGGGAAATCACAATGCCTTCATAATCATTTAAATCTTCGTCTATCAGTACAGAAATTAAAAGTAATGACTTGCTGTCAAGGTGAAAGTCAAGATACTAATGAGAAAAATTAGATTAGATTTGATTTTTATAGAGATAATCAATACTGATAAATCTTAATTTATGATAATTGTATATTAATGATTCTTCTAATACTTTTGTATTTTTGGAACATGTTTTGCTTGAAGTCTAATCAAGTGTGTTCACATTATGAATAAAGGATTTTATTTCTGATTTTCTGCTTTAGTGTATAGTCAGTATATCTGAGTTAAATGGCTAGAGTTAGACTACAGGAAAACTCGGACACTGGTTTCATGCCGGCTGACAGTTATAATCAGGGTCCATGGTTTATCGTCAACTAAATTCAATTCCGTCTAACATTCAAACATGGTGCCTGCATGTTGAGTCACTTAAACTAGTGGAAAGATTGCAAATTCATTGTCAATATTACTGATCGGTTACTAATCACTGATTAGTCAGTGTAAATATCTAATTTTCATAAACCGTTCTTATAATTCACTTACGTTGTTTCATTTAAAGTGACGTCAGGACAGTAGAAAAAGCATACAGCTGATGTTTGCATAACTTTTTTCTTATTAACTCAATAAATTGTGATACTTCAACATTTATGTTACAGATGGACAATATTTCGTTTGAGGAGTATTCCGAAAAAGTAACTGATTTAGAATGTCAAGAAATGTGAGTCTCAGTTTCATGATATTGTTTATTGTTTATTTCATGAATATACTTACAAAGGCAAACATTTAAAAAAAAGGCTTATTCACAATTTCTAATGACGTATACATATTTCAATAATTAAATGTAATAATCTCGTTGCTGATAAATAAAATAAGCTTTGAAAACAAGTTACGACATGGAAATATTTCAGAAGAAAGTTTACCTTAACAGGTATCAGTTACTTAAAGTTCACAAGTAAAAATAAAACTTAATTTTAATAAGTAAATAGGTCTTAAATATGATAAGATTTATGTCGAAATTCATAGATAAGTATAGTTTAATAATGTAATTGAGTTCATGAACCAATCAATGTTAGATCACCATTGAGAACCTGGAAGTAATGGACGAACGTTCTATCCTAGTATGGGATACCACAGCGGTACGCATTCACGATCTCGCATGTGGAATTCAAACCCAGGGCCTTCTGTCTCGTGCGCAAACGTTTAACCTTCAGACCACTGACCTGGTTGTTATCCAGAGGTTTTACTGTCTAACCTCAAACAGTCCGTGAAATTGCCTGACCATCTTCCACTGTACTGAGGTAGATATCTGTCTCTACCAGACATCGATTGGACTCCACTGGTCACGGCTTCTCACTAGAACTCCGAGAATTCCTTCATGAAGCTAGTCACTAGTGGTCACATGGTTAGTAGTTATTGCTCAATACTAAGTTAATATTTAAATAATATTTGAATAACCATCTCAAAGTTGATGGTGTAGAATTATATATGATTCAATTATTTTTCTTGCCTAAACAACCGGTAAAAACAAAATAATTCCTAATCGTTACTTTTGCGTACATTACAGTTTGGGATATTTAACATTCGAATATATTTGTAAACAAACATTGACCCTATTTCATTTTGTTGTCTGAGTCACAGTTTAAACTGCATTCTAATTGATTATTCAGTTGTTGTTTTTTCTGGTCTAATATTTTCGCTATTCATCTCTTCAGGTTTTTCGATGAATTAGGATTTCTTGTTATAAAATGACTCATTTAATTTTTATTTTAGCAGACACAATATAATTGTCTCATATAAATAACAAAACAGCAGGTACTAAGTCTACAACGTGACAAAGTGGCAAATAGGTAAACAACAATACATAAGATATCCATTATTTACTTTTATACTTGACATGTTAACGAACACATGTATTTCCAATATATTTTTTTCGTAGAGACCTTTTTCTATAAAATGAGAGTAATTTTTATCATAAACTTATATTATCTATAGGTATATTCAAAATCAGAAAGCACTGAACACTTGTCTCATTTTTTCCATATGACCTGGAGGTTTAGTTGTTTGGACACAGTTCTCTTAAATAATTTTATGTAATATGGTGTATGATAGTGTAAAAATAATTTACTTGAGTGATATTTGTTTTGAAAGTGGTTGGATCTAATTTTAGATAAATATATTGTTGCATTGAGCGGTCATGGTGTCGATTATGATACCTTTGAATAGAGCAAGAATAATAATAGAATATCATTAATTCATTTTATTTACACTGAACACTTTATCACTTTCATTTTTTCTCTGTGTAATTAGCACTTCCATAAATAAACATAAGTAGGCCTTGGTATATACGATAGATAGTCTCAAAAAAAGACACTTCCAACGCTATAGAAACCGACAAGCTACAACCATACTACCAGTTATACGAGAGTATGTGCAGCCGGGAACCACAATGTACACGGATGACTGAGAATGAATCGATGCTTACATAGACTTGATTATATGCCACGTGTCATCGTCCACAAGCCGCATTTTGTAGACCCCACAATCGGAGTAGACACAAATATTATAGAAGCAATGTGGTCGAGGTTAGAATAAATTTTTGCGACCTAATCATGACTCCAGAGGTCGACTATTATGAAGTCACATGGTTGAGTTCCTGTATCATGTGTAACGGTAGAGCCTCTTTTAACCTTAAAAAGTTTTTAACCATATTAAACAAATGTATCCACTACACGTTTTTCATTTTGTATAATATATTGTTATTGTACACTGTCTGTCTCCTGATTGGCTGAAATTTCTCGAATTTATTTAGGATGCTTCGCCAACGAGGCATATGTGTAACGCTTTTTTGCCCATCAAACAGTGATTAAAGCATTTTTCTTCTAAACATTTTTTATAACCATAGTTACACTTTGTTTTAGCTAAATTCTTTTTAAAAAAATATTTTTTTTCTCACTACGCCTATCATCATTGTTAAACAAATATATTAGGAGCGAAATATATCATTAACAAAATGGATTATGTTTTGTTCTTTTTAGAGAACAAAAAGAATAACACATAGTCTATTTTTACGAAAATTCAACGTGGTTGTTTTGTAAACATTTACCATCAGTTGAATGAGTCATTGTAAACGATTTTTTCTTTGGTACACACCGACATCTTCGGGAATATATGTGCAAACAATTGTTTCCTACGATTTGATAGATCATCTTTTTGTTAATAGGAATTTGATGAGTGTCTGTATTGGACAGACCGTCGTTGAAGCTATTAAAAAGTTTACTTTTAAAGGAGATTATACTATTGTGGATTATATAAAACCAAGGAAATTAACTATCCTATTTTATGTATTAAGTATACAATATATATTGTAGATGAAAATTTGTTTCATTGAATCTCTCGGGACCTTGACATATAATGAACATTATTATTTACCGTCGTTTTTCATCACTTCCATGTTTACTGATGTAACTAAATATGTTGAGAAGATTGTATTTTGATAATACCTGAACAACTGGTTACTTACTTACTTACCCCTGTTACTACTCGTGAAGGAGCATAGGCCGCTCACTAGCATTCTCCATCCAACCCTGTCCTGGGCAATCCTTTCCAGCTCTTTCCAGTTGTTGTTCATCTTTTTCAAGTCTGATTCTCTTTCCCGACGTAATGTGTTCTTTGTCCTTCCTCTTTTCCGCTTCTCTTCAGGATTCCAAGTTAGGGCTTGTCTCGAGGTGCAGATCGATGATTTGCGTAATGTATGGCCTATCCATTCCCATCGTCTTTTCCTAATTTCTTTTTCAGCTGGAAGCTGGTTTGTTCTCTACCACAGAAAGGCTGTTATTGATGGTATCCGGCCAATGGATGTTAAGTATCTTGCGTAGACACCCATTTATAAATACTTACACCTTCCTGATGGTGGTTGTTGTAGTTCTCGCAGTTTCAACTCCGTGTATGTTGAGGCCTACTGATGCAGAGACTGCTGTTACACTGGCTGTCTTTATCTGCATTTGTTCATTTGTATGCGATGGGAGGGCTAGGTGATCTGCGAAGTCCAAATCGTCTAATTGATTTTGAGCTGTCCATTTTATTGCGTGTTTTCCCTCAGATGTCAAGGTCTTCATAATCCAGTCGACCACCAGAAGAAAGAGGAAGGAAGAGAGTAGACAGCATTGTTTGATTAACTACTTTATAAAAAACATAGGTTTCAGTGATTTTCTAATTTTCTTCAAAATAAACATCACTCTCTGTTAAACGCTGTGATTAGTTTATATTCACTACTTATTCACTTAATTTTAATACATCAAATTATTTATGTAGTAACTAAAGTATACTCTGAGGTTCACCAGTTTCCTCAATTTCTCAATACTGCTTATTAGACAGTTTAGACAGGGATTCTGTGTGTATGAATGTGTGCAAATCACAAAATAAGTTCATTTCTGTGTTTTATTTCATATTATTCAGATGTTCAATTACCGAACAGAATGCTCGTTTAGATCAATTAACTTCACGAATTTTTGGTAAGTGATTTGTGAAAAGTGAAAATTCATAAGGAAATTAAATATTTTTTTTATTTCATGAGATGATTGTTAACTGTAAACAGCTCAAGAAAAAGAATTATGCCGATTGTAACAGTGAAAAAGCATTACATCTCTTAAAACTATGAGAATCTTGTAGAACTTAAGATTTGAAGTTTAGAAACGTGGTGATAAAAAAAGAATTTAATTTCAGTATCACTTGTATTATTTCTATGATTGGATAATTTTTGAAATAATACAAATTGTGAAGAGAGGGAGCTCGATAATAGAGGAAATTCTGATGTACATATATCTATTTCTTTTAACAAAATGTTTGTTTTCTGGTGATATTAAGCGTCAGAAATAAACGGGTTTGTTCATGGATCTTCAATGTTCTTTCTAAATAGCATCATCAGCGTGCTTACATTATATTTCAACTATCACTCTGTCATGATTTATATTTATTGGTAAAAGAAGAATAACAGTAAATATCACTCTTGGTTAGCTGAACTATTATAATTAAAAGTCATAATACATAACCAAATCGATCATATTTACTTACTTAAACACGCCTATTACACCACGTGGAGGAGCGTAGGTCGCTCGTCAGGGTTCTTCATTGAACTCTATTCTCCATTCTCCTCTACAGTTATTTCTAAGTTCTATTCATTTTTTTTATGTCTGCCTCCAATTACCGACGCTATTCGTTCCTTGGTGTAATTGTTTTCCTTATAACTTCTGCATTTCAAGTAAGCTCTTACCTTTTGATGCAGTCAGATGATTTCTGGATGTATTTCCTATCCACTTGAAGCGTCTCTTCATAATTTCATCTCCAGCATCATAAAAAATTCAGAATTTTAATGGAAGATATGGGACCCAATAGAAGAGCTTACTTAGCTTCAGATCACCACCTGGTTGTGGCTATGATGAAAGGGAGGGTAGAGAAGCAACAGACAACTGGAGAAACAGGATTACAAATGTTCATACAGCCTTCCTTCGAGATACTGACAAACAAATATAATTCAAGATAGCTCTCAACAACAGGTTTTGAGCCCTACAAAATCTACTAAAAGAAGAAGATATCACTATGGAGAATCATTGACATCAAGGTGTCAGGAGGTTCTGGGCCGCAATAATCGTCATAATAAGCAGTGAAATTTTAGAGGAACCATAAACAATACACGAGAAAGAAAAAAAACAGGAAGACAGCAATTAACAACGGCCGAACAAGAAAAGAGAAAGTCAAGGCATAGGACGAATACACTAAAGTGGACATGAGAGTGAAGAAGATCCTTAGGGTCGATAAGTAGAAATACGCTTAGGGGCTATCAACGCCAGAGGATAGGGTAACAGGAGACAACCATATGACACAAAGAAGAAAATGGAAGGGAAATATAGTAAACCAGAACGACCAGTCAACGACATAAAAGGCAAGACAATCAATTATATTCAAGAACAGAGGAACAGATGGGGAGAACACATCGAGGAAATCTTGAATAGACCAGTTTCATTGAATCAGCCGGACATCGAAGTATCACACATACATTCCTATAGATGTCACTTCAGCAATGATAGGAAAAATCAAGATGATCGGTCATCAGACAAATCAAGAGTGGGAAAGCAGTCGAAACTGACAACGTACCAGTTGAAGCACTAAACTCAGATATACAAGTAACTACAAACATGCTCCACACTCTATTCAGGAAGATTTGGAAGGAAGAACAAGTGTCACTGACAGACTGGAAAGAAGGATATCTCATCAAAACAACAAACAAAGAGACCTGAGATAATATGAGAACTACAGAGGTGCCACATTATTGTCAACAATAGGAAAGGTGTTCAACAGAGTATTTCTGAACCTGATGAAAGATTCAGTTGACGACCGACGTCGAGATCAACAGCTTGGATTTCGTAAGGATCGGTCATGCACACACCAAATAGCGACACTACGAATCATCGTTGAATAATCAATTGAGTGGAACTTCTCACTATATATTAGCTTCCTTGATTATGAAAAGTATATGACAGTGTGGATAGGAGATACATTATGGGAACTTCTTCGACACTGTGGTGAGAGTAGCTGTGAAAATCGTGAACATCATTTGGAATTCATATGATGAACTACAGTGCAAAATGGTGCATGTAGGACTGCTGACAGATGAACTTCAATTGTAAACCGCTGTCAGACAAGGCTGCTTGCTCTGAACCTTCCTCTTTTCCTGGTTGTCGAATCGATTTTGAAGACTTCCATGTCTGAGGGGAAGCACGGAATGTAATGAACAGAGTTTTGTGGCTAGACGGTTTGAACTTTGCAGATGACCTGGCTCTTCTATCCCATACCCAGCAATAATTGTGGATGAAGATATTCAGTGTTGTGGCAGCTTCTGAAGCAGTAGATCTCAACATGTACATGGGAAAAAAGCAAGATACTGAAATACAAAACAGAGGACACCAAACCACACTTGATGTGTAGCTATGGAAGGGGTGGAAACTTACACGTACCATAGGAGCATCATCGATAAAGAATGAAATTCGGATACAGATGTAGAGACATGAATTGATATCACAATGGGAATATTCTTACAATTGAAAAACATATGAAACTCAAAACAGCTATCTGTCAGCCAACATCAAAATCAGAATGTTCGTTACGAACGTCAAGACAGTTCTACATTATGGAGATGAAACTTGTAGAACTACCACTAAAACTTGAAATTCTGAGAGGGACAAGGAAAATAGGAAGACCAGGGAACACATTGCGTCAAGAATTGGAGTCAGACATTAAAAAAGTGAGGGGAGGAGAGGAGAACTAAGGACAGAGTTCGATGGAGAACCCTGACGAGCGACCTATGCTCCTCCAAGTGGTGTAAGAGACCTGAGTATATAAGGGTTATGCAATCGAAATTTAACGACTGTTTAATCCTCAGAAAAAAATATTGTCATTGATTTGAAATGATTTGTCGACCCGATTCCGACAAAATACCCTACGTTATAGATTGTCATGTGACTGAAATATTTTGTGAAATCATAAAATATAATGAATTCATGTTATTCTGTATCAGTTGTTGTTTTTGCTTAATTCAAATTCATAACGAAACCCAATGGCATGGATTTTGTTTTCAGTTACATTTTTTCTACAACCTGGTTTAAAAAATTGAAAAAACAAAAATGTCCTTATCTAGTCCGCTTAAATTCTAGACTTTGGTTGGTAAAGAGAGGAAATTGAAAGTACTTAAGATAGCGAGCAACAATGTGTAGAATATTTAACTCTGTAGTTTTCGATTAGAGATTTGGGACTTTGCACTGGAACCAAATTTACTGTTTCCCAGTTTTAGAAACGATGATTAAGAACTTGGTTTTACATTTCGTTATGTTTAATAAAAAGTAAATATTCGGAATCTTTGAATCGAACGAATTAACTAATAACATGTTGAGGTTGGGAAATCTATCAATTGTATTTATTTTATAATAAAATTCACTGCAATTTTGAATACTGTGATGTTTTTTTAGTAAAAGCATATGTTTGATCTCTGGTACGTCTTTAGTGTCATACTAAGAAGAATGGCTATCCAGTGGCTGATGATTTTCAGTATTTCTCATGATAAAATCAGTCCACAGCGCAAACTATAAAAATGGGGAATTATGTCAACTGTCCTAGCACAGAATCAAAGAAATTCAGTCTTAGTTGAAGCGAAAATCAAATGACCCATAAAAAGCATTGATTCGTCATATTTTGGTTTCTATTATTTTAAACATTTCGTGTAGATTTATGCTAATGTGCGTACAAGCCTTCTAAACACGTTTTATTCCATTTTTAGCCACTATTCTACCGGAAAATGTACCTGTTGAACAGTCGAAACAAGATGTGAAACAGGCATATAAACGTTTAAATATGATAACAAATGGTGCACAAGTTTTGGTAAATCAGTACATTTCATTCAATATATTTATTAATTACAGTGGTGTAAATTATGTCGTCATAATCAACAAATTTAATCTATTTGCATTGTCCCTTTAAACTATTATTCCGTAAGAAATGAAGGTTTCTGTTTATTTATGAGTGAAGAAGCTGTTGGGTGTTTATCTACCAGTCATTTTACTGAGGGTACGATAAAATTACAGCAGCATAGACACTAGATATACAAAAAAGGCCATAACTCAGTGAGTAAAATACGAAAGCCTCGGTTATTGAATTTCAGGCCCTAGCTGTATCATATCTACTCCGAACATGTTAACCGGGTAGTATCACAAGTGTTCACATTACAATGTATGTAGTTTGAACGTTTGGATACTAATTTGTTATCATTAATTGAGGCATAATAAACAGCTGTAGTTTTAAATTTACTTTACTGAGTAGGATACACTCAACATACATAATCATTGCTAAAATAAACTGTATTAATTTGTTCACTTGGTATTGTTTTACTTGAATCTTCCCATTGGTGTTTAGGACTGCAGTTGATCAGTCACTTATTGGCAGATGTGCATACTGTGCGGATTGCTTCGATATTGCCTTAATTTGCAAACATTATAGGAAAAGATAGATAGTGGCTAGCATTAGAATCCAGGACGAAACGCGCGTCCTGGATTCCACTGCTAGCTACTATCCATCTTTGTATTCATTTGTGCTGTTAAGTGTTACAGATGTTAGATAATGTTTAAAATGTTTAGTGTCTGAATAAGATCTTTGATAAATAAATTCTATGTAATAGGTTAAAGAAACCTTACAGTCAAGTATTTAATATTGAAATGAACTATTCAATGATAATCATTATTGATGTGTGGGCGAGAGTGATAATAACTGGCTGTCTGCTTAGTCAGACATGTAGATAGTTTGACAGGTGTCAGATGAGTTATATATTCCCCTATCCTTGTTATTATGACTCACTCATTATTGATTGTTCATTGTTGTTGGGGTTGTGTCGGGTTTTGGCTTGGGAATATATTTACGTTGTGGTCAGGCTAATCACACGTTCTTGATCTGAGTTGTGTTGAGTCTTGTAGAATAGACACAGGAAGGGGAATCTAGTGTAGATATTCGTCTAAGGTAAATTAACATCCTATACGTGTAAAAGTGGAAACCCAACCGTTATAACATTAGACGAAGTAAAACCGAGAGTTATAACAATTGGCGACGGGGTGAAAAACAAAGAACCAAGGATACAAACCACAAGTTATAACAATTATATACACATTATTTCGTTGATCAACTTGGAAATATTATGAATAAAAATTCCAACAGAATAACTATTGGATTTAATTTGTCCTACAGATATGCTACTGGAACCATGAACGCGATGCTGCCGACCACAGAGCCTATCTGAAAGCTGTAGTAAGAACAAAGGCAACTTGGCTTTTAACTTGATCTGTTTCTAAACGTAAAAAAAATTTGATTAGTACAATAAATAAATGAATTATATCCATTATTTGGATCGCATAAACATACAGACCAATATTGCGTGTCTTATCGAAATGAAAAGAAAATTATGATTCACACTAATATATAGGATAATAATGTCCTTCAATTAGTAGGTCACATGCAACAGGGATAATCTATAGATAAATCAGACCATATTGACGTAGTGAACGTTTAAGCAACGATTCGATTAGTTAGTCATGGCCATAACTAACAATAACATCCTAATTTATTAGATTATTATCTGCTAATCACTATTTGAAAAGCATTAATTTAATTAGATCACAGAACAGATAAATACAATAGTTTCTAAAAAATAATTGTTTGACTAAAGATTAAAGTTCATATATCTTAAATAAACGGTTAACATGAATACGCACTATGGGAAGAACTTAAAATATTTTGATAGAGTTTTGTTCTGTAACCAGGATGGTTTGGTCGTGAAGTTTTCATCGTTATTTTGAACGATATCATCAGCACAAATCCTCTACCTGAATTTTGTGCTGATGATATCGTTCAGAATAACGATGAAATTTCCACGACCAAACCATCCAAGTCAAAGAACAAAAATCCATCAAAATCATCCACCTGAACTATGAATCTTCTCTACCATCTCAAGAACTTAAAATATAATTAACATTTTGAATATAGTCTTAACCATCGACTGATAATAATATTAATTTAGTTGACAATTTAACATGCTAGTTATAATTAACTAATAATAAATTGTATCCTGATAATGCATAATGCCATAAATCAATAATGTAAGGTATGAATGAATGTAGTTTATAGGCTTATTTATATTTACAATAAAATTCAGCTTTAAATCGGTTGTGTAAAGTTGTAAATTAAATATAGATTGTTATTCTTACCACTGAACCATAATTAAAACTGTGTTTAGTTTACTTTCTTTAATGTAATATAGAAAAGTGTCAACTAGATACAATTATAATACAATTTTCCTACATTTATAGGATTTTAAAAATGTCTTATGTTTTACTATAACCAATACAGTAATCATCAAATAAAGATCTTAATACTACACGTTACATCAAGATTTTATTTGGCGTTTATTAGAGAATGTTTCTTCCATAGTTTATTTATCTGGACGAATGGTCTTCTATTTAATAGGCGCCGTTTATTTACTTAAGTTGATAATGCTTTAAAGATAATGGTATATGTATTCTTCCTCTTTCCTAATTTGATCTGCAATGAATGTAGATTACTAGATCTATGTAATATATTTAAAGTCTCCCACTTGCCCTGCGAATATCAGTGGTACTGAATGCCTGTTTATATCAGAATGGTTTAAATAGATTTATTGGCTAGGCAGGATAATTTATAGTATCAGTCTTTTCCTATCAATTTGGAAGATCGATAACCAATTACTTTACTTTAATGATAAGTAATTAGGAATTTTAAAAAATGACTAAACAACAAACTAACTATTGACAAGTTGTACTGAGTGATTCATTAGACAAAATTATAACCACAACAGTTTTGTTTCATTATAAATGACTCGTCTAGTATTAAGTAGATAATGTTTATATGTTATGGGAATTATAATTTAGATAAATGATACAGAACTCACTTGATTGAAAATTAAACATAATAACTTAATGAGTAACACTTCTGGGGACGAATGATACTTGCCTGTTAAAGGAATAGTATATTGAACATTTGCTAATACGTAGTCCTGTATTTAATAGCGCTTTAGTTGCAAGCTTAAGTTCGAGATTACCAGCATTAAACACTGAACGTCAAACAAATAAAAGATGTGAAAATGGCTCACTAGATCTGAATTACATTAACTGCTGAAAGATGTAAGCTTCTGGTTGGCAGATAAGCGATTCGTACAGAAAGTCTTTGATCGTGACCACATAGAAATATTTGGTTCCTGTTCTTGAACAAATCTTGATGTGTGTCTTCAGTAAGATTAATGTCCTTTTAAGGTTTAGAATCGTAGTGTCACGAGTTAAGCGCACATGTGCTGATTATTTGTGTGGTTATCTAAAATTTGTCAACTTGATTTTTGTAGTAAAAAATACAAATTCCTAACCGAATATTAGGTGAAACACAGTTCTCACGAAAATAGGATAGAATTGTGGTTAAAAATGACAAAAGATGACCAATTAAATAGCTCTCAGTGATCCAAATAATTTATATAGTGTAATGCTTATAATTACGTTTGTCAGATAAATGAATATTAAACGACACAAAGATGACAAACTACAAATAAAATGTTAAATGTCTGTCTAATATACTGTATGTAAGAATTAAGAATTTTTCCTTTATTCGAATATTTCTTTTTTTTCCATAGGTATTCAATTGTTCACAAACTAATTTACGTTTGGATAGAATATTTCACAAAGTGGGTAAAGCAAACTAAAATTCATTATTTGTAAAAATTATATTTAAAATTATCCCAGTGTTTGAAATATATATAATTCCGTCATTCGGTCCAATAATCTTGTCTGAATGTCTTCTGGGCAATAACCAACATAAATTTCAATCATTTAAATAACCACGCAAAAGTTATACTCAGTTAATTAACGGAAAGTTCACAGACTAACTTTGACTTTAAGTCCCTAATCTGACTGTCAAATTCGTTTTATATTGACTGGGGTTCAAAAACCCCTGTACATTCATTATTGAGATGAAAAGTGAATTAGACTAAGTGGTTTTCATATAGTTTCATTCCCTGAATATACGTTTTGTAACTATGAGTTGTTCACTACCAGTGAATAAACAAAAAAATATATCTAAAGTTATGCAGAAGCCTAAAAAGACAGATTTATTGGTACACGATAAACATACGTTTAACTTGTTATTATGATCTAAATTTAGCTAGACTAAAGAGAGTTTTCATCTCTAATTTGATCAGGGAATACAAAACTCTGCTAACATTTTGTTCATATGATTTGTTTTATATATTCATTACGAAGATCTAATAGATCACTTTCCATTAACTGTTTTTAATCGGATACGTTTGTCACTTAAAAAAATATCATAAATCATCCTATTCAGTACTTAAATTTCGATTATTTTACAAATAGCATATTCAGAGTTTAATATTTCATATTAGTGGGAAAAAATTAACTTTGACTAAACACGTCATGGCTCAAAGATTTCCCATAATACAAACTAACTAATACAATTAGCGACTGTAATGAAAGACAACTGTAGTGAGGGAAAACTATGTTTACAAATATGCGTGTAATTTCTTGAAGTATAAACTGTAGTTTACAATCTGCAAATTAATGTCTTTCTTAATCATTTTTCAGTCTCAAAGTAAGCTTTCAACTAAGTGTTACACTTTAGGTCTGTCTAGATATTTCAAATGAGTTTCAGTATTCACTAGAAAGTAAGCATAAAACTAATAAAGAACCAATGAGACATCAAACGAATGATTTCTATCATTTTAATAATAGTGTTTTTTAGCGAGTTAGTTTTCTACGGGATGAGGTCACTAACCTCATTCCCTACCGTCCTGTTTTATTCGAGCTTGGGACCGGCAGTAGCCCCAGAGGAACTCCAGGAGAATTGTATATCACGGTCCAGTATAAATGTGTTTATTGAAAACATTGATGGTTGTAAAAATATTGATATGACAGTTGAGAGAAAGAAGAAAGGTTAAATTCATATGATTTATTATACACCAAAAAATAGTCAAATGTTAAATAAATTCAACGGAGTATTAATTATCACTAAAATATTAATAACTTATAGTGTATAACCCTAGTTTGTAAACATCTTACGATTACATTCAGTCAGCTACAACGTAGGACCAGGCACATATGTGCATCGGTCCAGGTTGCCATACCGCATCAGCACAACAAGATGAACACCGGATTCATAGCAGTGGTTAGGTCACAGGTGGTAATATAGAAGAGAAAGATTGCATATAGAAATATAGTACAAGAAGAAAGAATTGGTTCGTAAAAGAAAGATATAAAGCAATTTTAATCCCTTAGTTTAAGGGAAAACAAAGAGTGTATACACCGACGCCATTGTGATCGATTCTGAGCCATGTCACCAAGAGTCTCCAACCATTGGTAACGATAGTCACCTGGACCCCAACCAAGTAGTCTGCATCTACCAACATGGCTCAGAATAGAAGTTATTGACTTCAAGCACTGATGCCACGTTTTGGTTTGGCCGCCCCTAACTTTCTTCCAACCATCCCCAATACCGGTTAGCATTGCACGTCGTGGTAATCGGTGTTCAGGCATACGTAACACGTGGCCCAACCATCTCAGTCGATGAAGATTCATAACCTCATCAACTGATTTACCATCATTCCCTAATACCCTGCGTCTAACCTCACTATTACTTACCCGGTGATCCCAGCAGATGCCAGCAATATTTCTAAGGCATCTGTGGTCAAATACTAGTAGCTTACGGGTGTCTTCTACTCTTAAGGGCCATGTTTCGCTGCCGTAAATTAAAACAGAACGGACTGCCGCGCAGTATACTCGTCCTTTTATTGATAGACGGATATCTCGCCTCCGCCAAAGGTGACGTAAGTTGGCAAAAGCCAAACGAGCTTTACGAATCCGTGCTGAGATTTCGTCAGACACCAACCCATTAGGGCTGATCAGACTTCCAAGATAAGTGAAGTTGTCAACGCGTTCGACTACTTCACTCCCTATCCTTAGTTCAGGTGTTGACGCAGACCAGTCCTGAAGCAACAACTTGCATTTAGAGGGAGAGAAGCGCATCCCAAACATTCTGGCATTGTTGCTTAGTGCTACCAGAAGACTCTGCATTTTGTCAGCGTCTTCACCAAACAGGACTATGTCATCTGCATATTCTAAGTCGATAAGTGGACCTCCTGGAAGGAGATCAATACCCGAGAATTCAGTCGACGAGAGTGTTATTTCCATCAATAGGTCTATGATGAAGTTAAACAAAAATGGAGAAAGTGGGCAGCCTTGACGGACACCACTTGAGGTTGTAAAAGTAGATGACAGTTCGCCATAAGCCCTGACTCGACTAGTAGTGTTCGAGTAAAGAGCCTTCACAAGGTTTATGTACTTCTGAGGTACGCCTTTCAATGACAGACACTGCCACAGAGTCTCGCGGTCTACAGAGTCAAATGCTGCTTTTAAGTCAAGAAAGACCACCATCGTCGGACGCCGATAGGTATGCCTGTGTTCTAGAACCTGACGAATGGTGAATATGTGGTCGATGCAGCCACGACCAGGTCTAAAGCCAGCTTGGTTCTCTCGTGTTTGTAGTTCACGAGTCTTAGTTAGGCGTCTGATAATTATCGAAGCTAGTATTTTAGATATTATATTACATTACAACAACGACAAATATAATTGATATACTGAGTTACAATACTGCTCCGTCCTAATAACTACTACATCTACTCCGTTGTAAATCTATTGATTTCAGTGTAAAACTGTTTTATTTTCTTGTGAACTGTGATATGTTCTTTACAAGTAAAGACGACGAAAGCCTGATTTAACTTTTTATTATTTTCCCTTACTTCAGGTTCAAAATTGCGTATTCTCTTTAACAAGCTTTCCTAATTTAGCAACAATGGTTGTATTTTGTCAAAAAGTTTATGATTGGTTAGCACTAGATGAATATCACATAATTCTACTTCATGCTGAAGGTGAACAAGCAAAAATTCGTTTAATGTTACTTGTTCTTGCATTGGATTCATTCTATGGATCAATTAATAAGTAAGTCATTTTGGTCTATTGAATAGATGACTTTTGGTATGTATATACAAAGATGGTTTCTATGAAACAAATTAGCTTATGAAATGTCACGACACATGATTCACATTGTCATGTATAATTCTGCAGTTCATAGCTTTTAAAGCCTTTGTTCAATACAAATATAAGAAAAACTAGTTAAATGGGAACTATTTTCAATGTTTAAGCATATGAATAAAGTATATTTAACTTTTGAATCAATTTGGTGGAAGAAAATGAAATCATATTTTGTCGGCCCAATGAATAGAACTTGTTTAAAACAATGAAATGTAATGCAATACTATTCTAATGAAGTAATCAATGTATTTATTCTCAAACATACAGATGTATTTCGAGGTCAATATATTTTTGACATAAAGAAGTAAAGAGAAAACAATGTAAAATAGTTTTCCTTAATCGAAATCACTTTTCTGATGGAGCTTTGTTCTCTGAGCTGGTTTGCTCGTGGAGCTTTCATTGTCCTTCTGAACGATATCATCAGCACAAACTTCAGGTAGAAGTCCATCAAAATCATCCATTTGAGCTACAAATCTCCTCCACCACTTCAAAATCACTTTGTTTGGTATTGAATAGGATATACCTTGTGCGAAAAAAAGGACAGAAACTCAAAAAAAATTTTTAATAATATACTGATTTTCACTATGACACAAAATTTACTTGCGTTAAATATAAAACAACCCACAGAACAGAAGGTTAAATAATAACAAAATGAGTGACTAACACGTTTCGTATTTATCTAGACAGATAACGTTAAACATTGCATTTTGTGAATCATGTCTTATATATACGTGATATGAGTTGATTATAACGCTCCCATTCAAAGTAAGAGAAGATGTATCTGCAGTCAATTGTTAACATATGAAATAGTGCATTTTTCGCTTTTTATCTTACTATCCTATGTAATATTAAGGGTTTTATCATGAGTGAAACGGTTATTAGTACCAGATTTAGCATGAGATCAAGCTGTACACCATCATGAAGTATTTGATAATTGAAAAATGAACTTTCTCATGTACTGTCTATGAGCATTTCACTAATTTTCTCACTATATATAATTTCATCGTATTTTTTTCAATTTGTTATTGACGTTTGGTGTAATGTTATTATTAATGAATGAGAAATTGTTTAAGGTAGTGAAATCCCAAACCATTAAAATTGTTATCAGAGAACACAGTTAATGATATTCTTATCTTATTATTAACAGAAATGCTGGAGTTGTTTATTATAGCTATTTTTCAATTTCAAAAGTAGTTTACTATCTATAAGCCGAAGAAAAATATTACAAAGCTTTGAGTAATGAATATCTGATTCATTTCATTTTAGAACTTCACAGAACTATTCACCCATGGCTTATTATACTACAAAAAGGCTAACAGAAGGTTGTTAGATCTCATAGATTAACTGACTTTAAAAGTTGAATCAGTTACATTCATTTCAATATCTTAAGAGTATCGAATTTGCAACAATTTTAAGGGCTATGAGCTTTGATTGCTGCAGTGTTGTGAGTCTACATTGGGTAGTTCAAAATTAAGGTTATTCATGCATCATTTTTGATACAAGAGATTTTTTGCCCAAATTATATCCGTTTTTCCTAGTTTGTTCTGAACAACCAATAATAACAAAATGGTATTTGTGGTTACAGAAACTAGTAATGTGTGAAAATATGTTAGCGTTCCTCAGCGTTTATCACAGGTAGTAGTGTTCGTAAACGTAGAAAATATCCGAACGAAGCCATGATCAATAATGCTGATTTTAAAGGTGTCAGTTATTGATGGGTTGGATAGAAATGAAATGTTTCTTAAGGCATAAGAGTAAATTTCACTTAATACACTTTTATATTCGTTTAGATACCGGAATAACGATACTTACTCCCTACGACGTTATATTTCATCCCGTCTTAATGGCTTCTCTCATGTTCCGGTTGGTTGGATGAGGTTTGTTACATTTTCATTATTGAAATGATTTTTTGAATTCATTTTGCAAGTCCGGATATTTTTGCGCTACTTCTTTCCGTTTTTAACTATTGCTACTAGCATCAACATTAGTAGTAAAACAGATTGTCAGAAATATTTACGTTTATGTTTCAGTTCAGTATTCGATGACCATCTGGACAATTATGGAAATTGTTGCTGACACAACAGACATTCTGCAGAAATGAAAGAAATTACAAACAATTGGTCTAATTGGTTTAATGACTAAGTTTACGTTTTTCTAATTACTGGTTGGACTCAAATGATAAAGTATTTATTAGAATACTATAGGATCAAAATATCTAATCAAGCTACGGTTCAATGATTAATCAGTAGTAAATATTGTGAAATATTTTCATCTAAGAAAATTCACGAACTGTTTCATGGTGATGCTCTTTGGTTGAAGTTGGTAATCTTTTTTAACACATGTTTGTTATTAAAAATAATAAGGGACATTCATGAGATTATGATCTATGAATTACCTTTTCTTAAACTCTAGATAATTACCTGGTATCTATACAGTTAATGGAATAATTACTTTAGTTTTCCAATAGACTAATAACATAATGTATATATATACGTGTTTGTCTTCATCGATCAAATTGTTAAGACAAGTGAAGCTTTTTAAACCTGACCGAAGAATCCTTCGTAAAATTACATTGAAAATTAACCAGTGGTCATTATTTAAAATCAGAAAAGTTGGAAAGTCACAATATTTACTACCGATTAATCATTGAACCGTAGCTTGATTAGATATTTTGATCCTATAGTATTCTAATAAATACTTTATCATTTGAGTCCAACCAGTAATTAGAAAAACGTGAAATTATTCATTAAACAATGACTAATTGTTTGTAATTTCTTTCATTTCTGCAGAACGTTACTTGTGTCAGCAACAATTTCCATAATTGTCCAGATTATTGACGTGGGTTCGAATCGAAATTTAGGTATATCTTGTTTGGGTTTATCAATTAACGAGAAACTTGGTTTGAGGTTATCCTACGGACAACCACCTAATATTATCACGAAGTCACATTCTACAATAGAGAGAAGAAATGCATACCGAACAAACCGTTCTGGAGACTCTAAGTGAGAGATGACTATCAAAATACCAATATTTGGTTCGAAACATGGATAAATTTAAACACTATCAACTGTTGAGTTTCAATAAAAATATAGCATAAAATGATCAAATAATTACAAAATCATAGTAAATAATTCCAGTATTAAGATGTGCTGCTTACATTCCTCTTTCCCATGACATATAAAGCTTATATATATATATATATATATATATATATATATATATATGCAGACTGAGTGATCATTTAGCAAAATTATCAAATTTTATGTGAATTTCGTAAACTTTATTTTGTCAATGAAATAAACAAATATTCATACTACCTAATTAAAAATAAGTAGTCATAACTGTGTAAAACAAAAAGCATAAAACCGACCAACTGCGGAATTAACTACTAGCTCTATAGAAAAACCAAATAACAGAATAAATTATAATAACTTGCATGTAAAAGAATGTAACACAAAAAATGTCATAATTTAATATTGGTGTTTTTGAAAGTGGGATGAATTAGTTTGACGTCCGTACAAAGAAAAATGTTACACAAAACTTTACTTTTATAAATTGATTTTCTTTTTGACAGATACATAAATCAATGAATGTCTAAAAAACCTTTTAAGTAAATTTAAAATGGGAATCACAAGAGGGAAAGTGAAGTTTAGATAAGCTATTTGTTTTTTGTGTTATTAGTTTAAAAGGAAACAAATTTTAGCTTTAACGACATGTGTAACCAAGACGATAAATAGTTTGATTTTGTGAAGGCCTTCAGAAGTTTTCAAGTTGTAAAGAATGCTGTTAGCATACACAAATATGGTTGAAAAACTCCTATATTATTTGATCAATAAAATTTATCACGTATATTGGTTTGTGGTTCCTTCCGTCCACCATAGATACCCTATTATAATTGATTATTTGGATATGTCAGAGATGGAATACAAGATTACATAGAAAGACAGAGTAATTTTTACTTTCATGTATTTTTTCATAAACAGACTGATCTTGGGAGGTTTACCTCAGCTATGCGAGTGATACAGTTATTTAAAAAAGCTCATCTATGCTTGTATCTAATAAACCAAGCAACTTAAAAACGTGATATAACTCGGCGGGTTTAATCAGTATGCCAATTTTGATTATGTGTTATATAACGCAGTATTAACTTCTGAGACAGTTGGTGAGAGGTTATGAAATTTAAATATATGTCAGCTGGAGCTTGTCAGAAAGGTGTACATGTAGTCTCGAGAGAATTAATTCTCAGCAGAAATTTAGATCTGCATCAACTATTTAAAGAGACAACCAATGAGCTAGTTACGGTTAGTTAGATATCTTTTAGATGGTTACACTGAATATTAATCAATTTCACTCCGTCTATTATTAAATATTGAGGAAGTTCTAAGAGCCAAGTTACAATATAGTCGCAAGTTGTTTTGTTATAACAATATAGCAAATATTAATTTAATTTCGTTAGCGCTCATCTCGTGATGCAGTTTGATGATTTCCTTAATTTATGTCCTCTGTACCTCCAACGTCTTTTCCCAATTTCCTCCTCATCTGAAAGTTGGCTTGTTCTCTTCCATTGTAGGCTGTTGCTGATGGTATCCGGTCAACGAACATTGAGTATCATGTATAGACAATTATTCATAAATTTATGTATTTTTTCGATGATGGTTGTGGTAGTTCTCGTAGTTTCAGCTCCATACAGTAGAACTGTCTTGACATTTGTATTGAAGATTCTAACTTTGCTATTGGTTGACTTGTTTTGAGTTCCAAATGTTCTTCAACTGTGGGAATGCTACCATTGCTTTACTAGTCTTGGCCTTCACTTCTGCATCAGGTCCTCTTTACTCATAGATGATGCTGACCACGTAAGTGAAAGTTTCCACCTCTTACAGAGTTGCTCCATCAAGTGTGATTGCGTTGGTGTTCTCCGTGTTGTACTCGAGGATGTTGGTTTTCACATGGTGTATATGGAAGCCTACTGCTGCAGAGGCTGCTTCCGAACTAGTTGTCATCATCTGAATTTGTTAATGTGTATGGAATAGAAGAGTTGCTCATTGAATTCCATGCTTTCCGTCAGATGTAGAGGCTTCATGATCAGTATATTTCCAGAAGAAAGAGAAAGGGAGTTAACAGCCTTGTCTGACACCGGTTTACAATTGGAGTTCATCTGTCAGCAGTCCTACATGCACCATTTTGCTCTGTAGTTCGTCATATGAATTCCGGATGATGTTCACGATTTTCTCAGCTACTCACAACATAGTTCCGAAAAAATTCTCATAATGTTCTCCTATCCACACTGTCATATACTTTTCATAATCAAGGAAGCTAATATATAGTGAGAAGTTCCACTCAATTGACTATTCAACGATGATTCGTAGTGTCGCTATTTGATGTATGCATGACCGATCCTTACGGAATCCAAGCTGTTGATCTCGAAGTCGGTCGTCTACTAAATCTTTCATCAGATTCAGCAATACTCTGTTGAACACCTTCCCTATTATTGACAATAGTGTGGTGCCTCTGTAGTTCTCATATTTGCTCCGATCTCCTTTGTTTGGTGTTTTGATGAGATATCCTTCTTTCCAGTCTGTCAGTGACACTTGTTCTTCCTTCCAAATCTTCCTGAATAGAGTGTGGAGCATGTTTGTAGTTACTTGTATATCTGAGTTTAGTGCTTCAACTGGCACGTTGTCAGTTTCGACTGCTTTCCCACTCTTGATTTGTGTGATGACTACAATCGATGTCTTCTCTCATTGCTGAAGTGACATCTATAGGAAGGTATGTGTGATACTTCGATGTTCGGCTGATTCAATGAAACTGGTCTATTCAAGATTTCCTCGATGTGTTCTCCCCATCTGTTCCTCTGTTCTTGACTATGATTGATTGTCTTGCCTTTTATGTCGTTGACTGATCGTTCTGGTTTACTGCATTTCGCTGTCAGTTTCTTCATCGTGTCATATAGTTTTTTCATATTTCATTCCGTTGAAGCTATTTCTGCTGTTGTTGCTCTTCCACTTAATTCTCTCATGTCTGCTTCAGTGTATTCGTGCTATGACTTTTTCTTTTCTTGTTTGGCTGTTGTTAATTGCTGTCTTCTCGTTCTTCTTTCTTGAATCTTGTTCAGGGTTTCAACATAGATCCATTGCTTATGATGATGATGATGATGATTGTTGCGACCCAGAACCTCTCGACACGTTGACGTTGTGAAGTTTTTAATGATATGAATATGATCCATGTGGTTCTCGGTGGTGTGGTCCAGTGTAACCCATGTAGCTCTATGTATGCGTTTGTGTGAGTCTATTGTGCCGCCTATAGCCAATTTGTTGAATGCACATAGATTTGTAAATCTCTCATTCTCCTTCCTTACTCTTAGTCATTCCATTTCGTTTTATGATATATTCATACCCGATGTCGTCCATTCTGACTTGAGCGTTTAGACTTCCTACGAGGTCTTTGAGTTCCGTTCCTGGGCAATTCACTATGATCGAGTAGAACAACCTCTTTATCGTCTTCATTGCCATCATTGGTGCGTGCACAACACTGGATAACATGCATTGTGATTTCTTCCTTCCTTGTTTTGAAGGATGCTTTGATAATCCTGGACCATGAGATTCCCATCTTATAAGTGCATTTCGTGCTTCATTGGACAGCATCATAGCAACTTACTTTTCGTAACCGGAGTACGGTAGCATCTCTCCAGTATCTAGCCTTTGTTGTCCAGCTTGGGTCCAATGGGTTTCTCAGATACCGAGTACTGTCAAGTTGTATCGCTTCACTTTCGTTGCTATTTGACTGGTCCTCTCGGTTTCCTACATTCTCTGCACATTCCATGTACCTATATTAATTGTTGCTCTAATTGTTAGAAGGGGTGTCGGTCTACTGACTTCCGAAGAATCTCGGCTTTCATCATGAGGCGTCATAATTCTTCCTTCAACTCCCAGCACAGAGTCTATATTATTTAAATTATTTATTCGGGTCAACAATTTTAGCAAGGTTGTTTTCTACGGGATGTGGTTGCCGAACCCACACCCAGGCTTGAAACCAACAGTAGCTCTAGAAGTGCTAGGGACGGACATAAAAAGTGGATATTATAATCCGGAAGACATATGGGATATAAAATTGTTTGAAGTATTCTGGTTTAAAAATTGTTTACTAAGTACATTTTTCACACATATTGCAGTAATTTTTAAAATGCACATCTTGTTGATATACGAACGCTGCATTTGAGGTCATTTCCTACACAATAACAAATTAAGTTTTTTTCATGTACAACTAGAGAAAGTACGGCTGAATCAAAGGGCACTGAACATCAGAAGTAATGATTACTGCGATAGGCCAGTCAGGTCTATCATAATACATGTGTCAGGTTATCTTATGACGTACTGTTCGTGTTAGATATTATTCAAATTAGTTAAGGTTACTACCAACCATGGTAATATAAATCATTTGCAGTTAGGGGGGGTGCTTACTTACTGTGTTCATTAATAAGAATTTAAATTTCCTATAGTGGGATATACTTACTGGTATAATAATATTTAAAAGATTTTCAGAAAAGAAGTAGGCATTAATGCAGCGAACAAAGTATAGAAGTAAATGAAGGTTTGTTTTCTGAGACAAACGATGAAAACCAAAGCATTATATTTTGTTTGCTTGACCTTTCCATTCATCATTTAACAACTTCATTATTCATTTTAGCCAAATTTCATTCCTCAATCATGACGATTATAACTAGTGTTATCTTTTTGAGATTGTTCCATAAAATTTTTGAAACCGGATTAATTTAGGCATTCGAGTAATCATGTTTTCCCACACATTGACTTCAAATCTCATTATAATTTAAGGAGTTTCTTAGCCTAAATCTATAGGTTATCTAAGTCATAGATTGCTTTCAATGTAGGTACTATTGAGAACAGAGGAGCCCTAGACACCTTTTTCACCCTATTATAGGTCACCACAACTTTGTATATCCATCATCCTACCGTGAGTTCAACCCAAAACCTCGAGATTACCATTATAACTACTGGGTCAGCGTCAGCTTGAGGAATACAACGAAAGCTAAAAATAGGCGAATACATATCAAAATAACTAATTAAGTAAAAACGAGTTATTATGAATTCGTCAAAATAAGTTTTCGACGTATGGCATGAAGAGATATGACCAGTTTGTAACCTTAACGTGATTCGAAAATCACTTCTTTGTTTCTCATATTATTGTTACTACCATTATCATTATTATCATTACTATGATATCCAATTACTAGTTTCATCAACGTCATCATGATTACTTCATCATTATTTTGTCCACCGCGATAACAACAGTTCATATGTGTCTCTTGTGATCGGTTGCATCACCACCTCTATCTCTCGTTTATTCCATCTCTTCCTAAATCAAATTTGTATAAAAATAGAAGGTAGTTAAAGATAATTTACCAGTGAACTAAGTAATTTTATGCTTGTTACACATAAAATCGTACTGCTGAGGTATCCCATACCATGATGAAAAAAACCGTCCATTGCTTACAGGTTTTCATTGGTTGCTTAACTCAAATCAATTCATAATCCCAATAACATTTAATCACTTCAATAACCCTTTACTGAAAATTACATTTGTAAAGCATTTTATTTATGTTTATAAATTAGTACATGTGTGGAAGATTTGTTGTTCCTACTTCACAAAGTCATTGATTATCTAATTACATTCACAAAATAGACTGACCTGACAAACAAGTTAGATTTAAATCTTTTGATTCCAGAGGATTCTCTTATTCATGCTCCATTGAATCGATCACTAAATCTCCCAGTATTAAGATTCATAATTTATTAGATAATATCCTCATCTGTAAATCATTTTGTAATTGTAATCAATTTTATCTTTTAGAATATTCGCATGCTTATCCAACCAACAGTTAATTGTATAAATTATTTCTTGAATTCTCCACCTTTATTGACTGCTTTTATACTTTCACTAAACTTAATCAATACATTCATTGTAAACGGGGATTTATTTTACTGATATGATTATTTTAATTTGTTACCAACTGAAGCGAATCCATATTATAGTTGAATGTCTGTCACAATAGTTGTTTATTACTTTAAAGAGGTAAACATTAATTATTAATGGTATCATATGATTTATATTTTATCAAATATTGATAACTAGATTTATTGTTTGAAGTGTTTTATTTATGTATTTTGTTATTATAGATACGCTGGTTATATGGAAATATTCTCACCAACTAACAGTTTATACATTCTACGTGCACCATTACATATCTATCAACTATATTTATATAATTTTCCTGTTTTTGAAAAAAATAAATTAAGATTATACTTTAAATTCTATACTGGTTCTCCTCCTGTACATATGTATACTACTAACCTTTAGTAAGTATATGTTTTTTAATGTAGTAAACTGTAGAATAACTAATAATTGGCTGTTTGATTGAGATCATAAATCAATTATTGTTAGACTACCAGTGAAAACCTGGAAGCACTGAATGGTCTAATATTGCTCGATTCATGATCTCAATCGAAAAACTCAACAATCTCCACGACCTCATTCTGATAATTAGTTTTTACTTGTATGTATTAAGTGATATTTTACTTAATAATTTGAGTTCATAGTTACTCATCAACAAGGACTGATATCAATTAAAGAACTTGAATAACTCAAGAGCATTGGACAGATTTCTTTGTTAAATTGAGTACTTCTCGCCAGAAGTACACATCCAGTAATCATAGATGGATTAAACAGAAGCCCTTCATATCTCTCAATAAGCACATTAATTAGTGTTGTCTTGTCAATGAATAGCTTTGATTATGATTTCTCAAAAATGATATAAGAAACTGTGACTGACAGATTGAACGAGGTGGGGTTGCACAGTTGTTTATCATATCGATTTATGCAATACGTAGCCGAAGTGTAGTTCACCCATTAAATATTGTCTTACCGCATAGATGATTATAGGGTTTCTAGGTTCGATCGTATATGTAATTATGAATTTGTACTAATGACCAGCTATAAACTAAGAATTATCTATTCAGTGGCTTATCTGTCTTAGTAATTCTCCATATGATGTTGCTCAATGATGAAAGCTATCTGCGAACTGGACAAGTCTTTAAAACAATATATATATGAAGGTTGCTAGTCTAAAACCCTATCACAGATGACGCCTAATAGTGTCGTTAAATTGCTCATTATTATAGTACTTTGTGAATGTTTATACTGACGTGATCTCACTACTGTGAAGTATTCAGACTTTCCCTGTAGACATTCAAAAAGACTGAGGGTTTAGGCAAAATTTCATCCTATATGATTTTTAATTCTATCGACTGCAAAATGACTAATTTTTTAAATTTTTACAAGCGAATACGAACGAACTGATTCTGCAAATCTTGTGTTGAATTTCCAATCTAACTCCAATCGTAATATTGGTCTACAATTGAGTGGTGATATTATAATATTGGCCTACCATTCCAGAAGTTATCCTTTAAAACGTATTCGACTATTTCGGTAAGTGTATGGGTTTCTCAAATAGCACTTTTCTAACTAAGTTTATTAATGTCATTGTTTCTATGTCTTGTTTCAATTTTGTTCATTCCTGTAGTATCATAATATAAGTCAATGGTTTTAGAGGATACATTTTACCCAGCCAGTTTGTAATTTTAATGTTTTGTGTTTTATTTCGTAATAAATGTTTATCCATTCCAGTGAAACTGGCTAAGTGTCATTTTTTAGTTACACTAATAATAACCTTTAGTGATAATTAGTAAAGCATAATTTGTATAGAGAAAAATATTTTAAGCACTTAGACTCTGAAAAATTTAGACAATCCGATTTCATAATTTAAAATTGCACTATATGATATATAATTCAACGTTCAAGTGATATCGAAACTCGCGAGGCGGGATCGTGGATGCGCACTGCTTAGGAATCCAACAATAGGACGAAATGGCCGTCCAGTGCTTCAACGTTTTCTATGGTGGTCTATCTTCAATTAACTCATGATCTCAACTATTGAAATTGATAAAGAATTGATAAAAAATTCACTGTCATGTACAATATAAAGCAATGATGATTAGATTTAAATTATCGTTTTTCAGTTTAGATAACCAGTGCAATTTTTTGAAATTCGTTGACCATGGTAGTAATCAATAGCTATCAGTAAATATAAGTCAAGTTTGTGTGAAACAAAACAATCAATGATGAATTGTTATTAAGCCAATTAGCGTAGAGTGAACGAGAACTCGGGTACGGTAAACCAATTTTATGTTTTATGCAAAATCAAGCAGTTCCTTTGTAAAATATCAAAATTATACGTCAAATACATCATCTGTGCATCTTCCTTGAGTTTTAATTTATATATGCTATCATTCTTTCAATCCTGTTGTTATTCCGATCGCTCTCTGTTTTCATTCCTTTTCTCTTTATTTGAATCTTCTGCTGGTAAGCATTCCACTTCCTATTCCTTCTGCATACTACTTATATCTGTCCACATAAGGCACACCATATTAGTACTTAATTGCTTCCTCAGGTTTCTTTAAACATCGGCTGTTATCGTACAAATATATGAATCTGCTTTAGGTGCATGATTCAGTAAGTAGGCAATTCTTGTACAGCATATTTTCTGTAGACTTCATGGAGTACTCACAGGACCTTTCAAGTTAGGTCTTATGTTTCTGCAACAAAATCCTACCTAAGGCCTTCTCACTGCTGGATAGTAGAGGCAACCTTGCTTGACAACTTAGGTAGTCGACGGAATTCGGACCAATCACTCACTCCGTTTTATCCTTGACTAACTAGGAATTCAACTGGGGGCTCACATAACCACACTAAGCGAACTGATAAATACGCTTATGTATAAGAATTTCACAAATCCCCAGGTCTATGTAGTTCACGTATGTAGTTATATGTAAAGGGTATGTGTGTGGTGTCGTACAAAGGAAACGTTAGCAGAAATTATGTCTGCCCTGTGTCTAATAAAATTAGCGGCCTAATCTACTCGATCAAAGACAATAAAAAGATATGGTAGAAAATACTAGGGAGAGGTGACCAACAACCTCCCCTGAGAGAATGCTTATGCTTTTGTGTGTGTCAGGAAGTACCATGGCGGTAGCCATGAGCTGAATGATAAGCGTGTAATCAGTAAAAGACAGACTTTTGTAGCAATTACGTTTCAAAGGGAGCAGTAAACACCTACCCTCCTAAGTGGGTGAATATACCTATATGTATGCTATGGGATACAAAGGATCAAAACCTGTGTGTTACCGGTGCGCATGTAATCTATATTTGCTCACAGGGTAAGTATATCTGTATATATATCAAAGGATACTCAGATGAAAGTCCATGTGTTACATATTATGCATACAGACTCTACCTATCCAGAGTAAGTAAAAACTTCAAAAATCCTTTACTTTCTCTTCTTATTACGATACCTACATACAAAAACCTGCAGGACCGACATTCCTAACAAAACCACATCCACGCGGTGGGTTTGTAAGCCCTGAAAACACGGAATTCATTTCACAAGAGCCTACATGTCTCCCCAGGTAAAGCTTTACCAACAAATCTGTCTTGAACACACCTCAAATAAGAGCTAGATTATGCTTTCATAAAGTTTGATGAATAAACACTACTATACTTCTCCCTGTATCAAGCAGTAGTTAAGTCTATTTATCACGATTTTGGCTAGAATAAATTATTTTACTTAAAGAATACAATTGAATCATTTTTGTGAATATCCTAAACTTATTTTATAGATCAATATTCAGTTCACATCATTCTTATCCCTATAAATTATTACAAACAGAATAAATATCCATCGACTTATTCAAATAAAATAAAATATTTATTAAACTATCATACTTCATTCTGTATAAATCAATTTCCCAACCAAATATGGACATAATATTTTCGGGAGGGAGGAGGGTGGGAATATTTCAAAATCATTTATTTTTATATGACAACAATTTTAAAAATTACAAAAATTTTTTTTCTCATTTCAAGTATCCTACTGCTTTTATTTATGATTTTTTTCAAACTGTCTGCTAGAAAATTAATCATTTTCGAAAACTTCATTTAAAAAAAATAATAATAAACATACAACTGTATATTTCCATTAATTTACATATATTGGGTTGAATGGGAACAGTGTAAATATCTTCAGTCATTTTTACAATGAATTTTATCAACAATCTTAAACCCATATTTCACTGAATAACTGTTGTTGTTTTTTTTTTTTTACTTACTTCATGGGATGTAAGAAATGTTTGACTTCAAATACTACACATTAACTTTGACACACGTAGATAAACTTACAAATAATCAAAATATTAAAATGACATTCTTCAAATACATTATGCCTTATTCAATTGGACATAGTTTTGTCATCACCAATGAATGCAAAAATGTAAACTATATATATATGAAGCGAGAGAGAGAGTTGAATGGTGTAAACCGTTAAAATACACCTTTACAAAACGTCTACAATATATATGAAAAATGGGAACACATTTCAGGTATGTTCGATAAGGATACTAGGGGAAAAAATTAAGTGTTTACTATTTGAATATTCAGTTAATCTTGATCAGGCAACTATTCTACACACTAGACTAAAAGTTATTGATTGAATTCGTTTAAATCTATGACGATTTTTTCGGTTCCCAATCTTTGAAGAAGTTGAAAGTTTGGTAATCCATAACATTGAGCTCGAACTTTGTACACAACAAAAATAACATTTGTTTTTTGTCTCCATCAAGCTCTCAGCTTATCTCAGTCACAATAAAATGCATTTTCAGTTCATCAATTTCACTTCACTGACTTACGTCTTGTAGGATTTACTCAATTTAACTCAGTATTCTAAATTAAACAGTGAATGACAAAATTAATAGAATTAATTAACCTAAGGGAAAAATTTGTGTTTTCACCATGATCAGAATTTGGTATAGACTGTATCACGAAGTGATATCCAGAATAAGGCAGTGGTTGATGGTAGTCGACTCTGGAACTAGGGTTTGTGCCGATTGGCACTCGTCACCAATCTTTAGAAAACTGATGCTACCTGAGAAATCTGTCTAGGGTTTTCTGTCGACTATTTCCAACCAACACCTCACATCTCAATATAGTGTACGTGATGTCGAGTCACCTAGACTAGTGATCACATTGCAAATTAGTCGATAGAACTCAATCTGCACTAAGAAGGAGCTGACCCACATGACATTGGTCACCACATAGAGATGAATCAATTATAAATAATATCCAAACGTTTAACAAAACAGTTAGATGTATGTATTAGGACGATTCATATGGATTTTCATGAGTTTGGTTGCATGGGACATACAAATTCTTACGGCTGGTAATCTACATTAAGTATAAAACCAGCTCAAGCAGATTAGCTTTTAGAGTTCTTGATTGTTAAACATGAACGTATATAGTCGTTTAGTCTTTATGTATGATCCTTTCGAAATAAGAATATACTGTAAACTATAGGGAAGAATAACACTAATCAGAATTAAGTTCATATAATATTTCACACTATTTTCTGAGTCTGACAGAATCAATATTTATTTAACTTTTCTATATCATGAATTACTTCTTACCCAATTAATTTATTCTTTCTTCTATTTGTGTATGTATGCGTTTGTTATCTAGAGTAATAGGAGTTAGATTAAATGGATATGTTTGGTCATTTTAAACAATATATTTCATGAATATAATGAAATCGTAAAACTGTCCTATTTCATATAACAGAGGTGCAAGAAAGAGCTAAATTCAAACAGAAATCTCGTCACCTATTTAATGGACACATTAATTAAGGAAGTATTATTGGTGATCTTTCGTAAAAGTGCTTATTTATTCTCAACAATCAACTACTTTTAATCATACTTTACGAATTACAATTTTAAATAAACCATTAATGGACGAACATTTATGGCATAGAGAATTTTATGATTTATTAAGTTGATTAACTAAATAAAAGACAATCGAAAAAGAATTGAATAAACAAAACCAAATTGGATTTTGTATACAGATTCTGGCGAACTATTAAATTTAAGCAGTACAACTTCAACCAACTAAATCACTATATATTCAATTAAATAATTCATTCAATTCATGAACAATTTAGACTGGTACATTGGTTAAGACGGAACACAAAGTGAGGAAATCAATAAGTCAGAGATTGATTTATTGACGTTAAAATATATAGATCCTCATTGCGTTAACAAACTCTATTTCAGTGAAAATAGATCAAGTAATTATTTCTCGTGATAAACTTTTAGAAATCATTTCGTTTACTGTAAAACTTCCATACAAACAGCAGTTTTTACAGATAAATAAAATATTTAGTCAATGCAATGTTATGTGTAACATGGATAAAATCACTTAGTTCACCTGTAAAACCCATCTATAACTATTTTCTATATCAATACAAGTTCGATTTATAAACGAATGGAATCTACAAGTTATAACAATGCGATGATCTAATCGATTACAAGAAGTACCTGTGGATTATTATGAACCTGGCAGACAAAATGTTAAAACTGATGGTTTACTTAGAAATTAGGTATGAGAAAACGAATAACATCTGCTTCTGCCTAGGGTAGAAGTCTTCTATTATTTTGTCATTTTATCACTCCAAACGATATCAAGGCCTGTTGAATGGCCTGTTTTGATAATCTTCCTAAGCTACCACTGGATAGTTTAAAGTCGTTCAGCACCAAAATCTTTTGCATATGTTCTGAAATTCTTTTAAATAATGCAAACTATTTTCCTCAAATGTCCGTGGTAACGAACGTTTTTTCTCAAAACGAGTCTCGTTGTAATATTATTCTGTTTATCTAAATCGTTCTGGTGAATTTCTGCTTGGACACTATTTGGCTGATCATGAACATCATTCAGCGATGATCACTAAATGTTTATCAAATAAGTTTGATTTGTCTTGATCATGTTACAACAAATGATATAATTATTGAGGTAGTTGATAGAGAAGTGCAATAAGTAAACTATGATATTATTAATTGAATATAATACAAATGCATTAAATGGTAAAGACACAGGCGTTTATTCTGATTGTAATAAAGTTTAAAGCCACTTACTATTTTCGGTTATGATAAGCATGTCCTTGTGTTTATGTGTGAAAGTGAAACATGGAATTATTAGAACGATCAAAATTTTTAATAATGTTTTTAAATATCTTCACCATTGATAAAACTGTCAAATTACACACTGTACCCACTGTTTGCTGTTATATGGTAAGCGAATGTTTTCAGATTCCATACATTGTCCCACATCTCTTCAGTCGTGTCAAGTGTATGGTTGAGTATATGCACAAATGAGTGTTTGTACATTTTTCTTGTGAATGCTTTCAGTCTAAAAAAACTCTGACTAAAAAGGAAGATTATAATCAAAAATTTTCCTGAAACAGTAATTAATTTTGTTCATTTGTAAGCTAATCCAATCTATCTGGTTTACACGGTGTATTAAATGTGTTCCATAATCATGAGAGACTATATATATATATATATATATATATTTTATATATATTTATATAACAGCTAATTAGTTTGGTGATGTCACCGTTCAAGTCTTCTTCTTTGAAATTTCTATAAAACCTTAAAATCTGCTATCAGTCTTTGAGAAAAAGGTTTTTTTCTCAATAGAAATGACACATTTTGAGTGGTATGAAATACACATTGTGTTTCTTGCAACACTACCTGTAATGAACTACATTCCATCACATAGTGACACTGACTAGGGAATTGTCAAATAAACTCGATTAAGTTGATTCAAATTTTGTCCGTTTTTAAAGGCTAAAAACATATACCATTATATTGTAATACAGATGTTTATTTACTAGTGATCAGTTTTACACTTTGTATGACAGAATTCATATACATTCCTGTCAAGGGATCGAGGATTGGATACGATTTGTACCAAATGACTTTGAAGAAATTTCGGGATGTAAGTTTAAATTTGTATTTGACCTGAGTTCTCATTTTAATTAAACTTCTTTTACCATAGCTCTCATCAGTTCAATATTCATTTTGTGTATATGTGTGTGTGATTAATGCATCGAAATTTTATGATTATGTTAAACAGTGTACAGTCCAAGTTATTGTACTAATTAACAATATAAGTAGAGATCAAGTGGTGGAATAAAATCAAGTACATTCTAAGCGAAATGTATTAAAAAAATAGGTTTCAGCGGAATTGGGCCATCATGATGTGGTTTGGGCTGTCGTCAGAAAGCTATGTAGCTGGTTGGGATTATAAAAATGTTATGTTCAAATCTCGGTCGTATTGGACCTCAGCCATGCCCCTAATATCCTAATAAATACATCTCTTATTTTGAAACTGAGTGATATATTTTTGGATTCCACTAGATGCCCTAACACCCTTAAGATTATAGATAAGTCTTATTGATCAGTTTCAAATACCTCTGAAACTAGATCCATACCGATCTATTGACTGTCATCAACAGAGAACAGGCTGTCACCTGAACAAGTGGTCGCATGTTAGGTTTACCAAAATGATTCGGTTAATAACAAGGACTAGACAAACTAATACTGACGGTAGAATATTATGAACCAGACCGCTGATTCGTGCTTTCTTATAGTAATTACGTCATTTGCTAAGACTCAATTACATAATTAAATTTTATACTACAATGAGAGTTTGCAAATTAATACCTTCATTTTTAGTCCATAGAAGTTTCTGAACTGACTACTGTCATATATACTTATCAATCAGAAGAGTGTACAAGTAATGTTTTATCACCCCAAAATATTTTAAATATGGTAGGCAAATAGCATCAACTTGTCAATTACCTTTTATTTCTAACAAATGAGTTCACTGAGTGACATTTGCATAGTTACAGAGTGATTATTTTCTTTAAAACTTAGTAAACTATTTATTCACATCCAAAGAACGTGTAAATAAATGTTAACGACATAATACATAACAATTTATCTCTAGAAGATTGTCATTTTAAGCTTTTGAGTTTCTCTGTATTTCAATCATAGTATTCTATAACCCCCTCAAATCATGAAATTGGAAACAAATACTGTGTAAAAAAATTAATCTTGTATTTTCAATCAAGATAGTTGACGGTTTATTTCTTTTACCCCTATGTATAACTGACATTGAAACACGATGAATATAATGTTGAATAACGTATATTATTAACCATAATACTGCTTGGTCTGCAGAAATCTGTCAGACATACAATGTTTAGACAAACACAACATTGATCACTACTGAATCAATAATCAAATGTAATTATGTCAGTCTCAGAAGAGGTCTACTGCAGCCCAAATAATGTAGCACCTCAGTCTGTGAAGTTGTGTGACGGGATATCGAATATGCCGGGAAGCATCAATTACCTCAGTACATCTTCATGTCGCGTGCCTCACTTTGGAGTATCTCGTTAACTACCACCAACTACCTAACGGATAACTTTATTATTTGCATAATGTAGAACCATCATAAGATTTTTATTCTTTTTGACATACTCTTTCCCAACCCATTCTGTCCGTCAGTTTCTTGTGTTACTTATAGTCGTGAATGTTTGCTTTAGCTGGTTCTATCATCGTTGAAAAACTGAAATTGCTGGACGATCAATCCGTCCTAGTATGGGACTCCTCAGCAGTGCGTATCCACGATCCCTCACGCGGGACTTGAATTCCGGATCCTTGGTCTCCCACGCGAACGCTTAACCTCTAGACCACTGAGCCGGCATCAAACGGTGTTAACGTCCAACTTCAACCAATCCATGATCTTACGAAACCATTCATCCATTATCTGAGGTGAATAACTGTCTCAACCCAACACGAATTAGGCTCCACTGGCCACAGCTTCTTACTACGACCCCAGGAAATCTATCATGAAGCTAGTCGCTAGTGCACACATAACTATTATCAGATGCTCACTGTCGGAGAATCCCATGCTAGTACGAAACGGTAGTCCAGTGCCTCCAGGTTTTCACTGGTGGTTTAGCTGAGATCGACTCATGAATCCAACTATTAGAATTACTACAATCTTTACAAATCCCCATGCTGATTATCATACTAATGTTTAATAAACTTCCCACTGATCTAAAACTATATCTGACATATGGATATTTTATTGACAAAGTATGAAATCAATTACATGAATCTCTTTTTAGCACGTACTCATTTTAAAAAAAATACAATGAATTTCACACAACTTAGAAATAAACAAATAACTAGATGAAAACATTAAAATGACAATTAATTATTAAAGGAACTAGTTGATGATTGATGCATATTTTGCATACTTTTACAGTTTGATTTTATATTTAGAAAAAATTTCTTTGATCTTAGTCTTCAACTTGCAATCTATTCCTTGCATTTTTTTGATGTATCTACTTTATAGAAATAGAGGAGTATGATCTTTTACATTGATTAATTGGTTATTACTCATTTATAATACGGTAGATAGTAGTGATTGTTTGTTTTTCTTTTAAATGCTATTTTCATCGAATGATTTGTTCCAAAGGCCTTAACTGTGGTTGTTTGTTGAAACCAGGTTATTGTTGTGTAATATACCAACGGAGCTTTTTATGTAAGCTGACAACGTTAAAAACATATGCTCACATAAATATTTTGAATTACTCTTCACTATATTGATTGTGTGAGTATATCTATATATAACATCATCATCATCTATTCACAAGTATAGGATATCCTCTTAATACTTCACTAAAAACATATAAGGTTACTACTGTTGACCTGAAACATCAAATTAAATGGGATAGAATAATTTGGATCTATGCTGTTTAGTATTATCAGTAGTCAAGAAATTATTAATTCCAAATTATGCTTATAAGAGAAATGTAGAAAACAAAGGTTAGAATCTGAAGGTAGACTAGATAGTGACTTCCATCCAATGAATGTGAAACACATCGACTATTTACATAAAAGTTGACATAGTTCGTTCCAGTTTCGTAAAACACCTTTCAGATTTTGCGTAATGATTATGGTACTCAGAATTCGGTCACGTATTACTAACTAATTCGGTGAAACTGTACTGAAATAAAAAAGTGAGTATATTTGTAATTATTTTAACATTTACTATGCTCTGAATTTCACCTTTTATTTAACTCACTTCAGTAATACCATTCTTCAATTTTAGCTTTCCCTTCCTCGATGAGCTTAATTCTAAACCTTACTTCGAAACCCATTCCATTAACTGCTGATGGTAAGTGTTGTTGTTTAGACTTTTTGTTACGAGAATTATCTATAACTTGTAATAAATTCTATACTTTCAAAATTAAATGGAACTTTGTATTGACTTAGTTCAGAATATGTTTCCTGAACGTTCAGTGAAGATTCATGTATTGCGGAGCAAAAAAAATCTGGGATACAATGACATTAGATATTTATAGGACTAGACTATGAGTTGATTGCAAATGAAAGTTATAAACTATTATTTTCCGACTGTATGATTAGTTGGTAAAACTCTCATATCGAAAATTGAATTTGAAAAGGTATGATGTTGTGATCGTATTCTTATTTTAATTCTAATGTAATAGTAAAAACTGTTTTACTGTATTCCGATGTCAGCCGTGGGTGAAATCAATGTTCACACTTAGACGGGTGGAGAAAAAAGTTAAATGGTTAGAGGCAGTTTACAGGATATACAAGACCTATGTTTCGTGCTATTTAGAACACGTAAACAAGGCGGTTTTTTATTCTTGAGGAGACCTGTATTCTAAAACATGTTGCTCATTAAATGTTGTAGAAATTCTTATCCTGTTCAAAAACATTTCACTAATTCCAGGTAGTTCATTTACTTAATTCTTATGTATACGTATGCAGTTATCGGTCTCTTTACTTGCTTTTTGTCTTTGTATATGAAGCACTTTACTGAAAACTTCACATTGTACTAAACATTCAATATTGAATAAAGTCACTGATTTTATAATATTAATAACTGGTGCTTCATAGCAGACTGATTCTCGTGTCACCCAACATTGCAGTCTGAGACATTCCAACTGAGTTATGCGGATCATAACTTACTTACTGCCTGTGGGACTGAGGTACTTACAACTGATTGATCCCTATGTGGTGTTCAGACGACAATGAATAAAAATCTATTTATTGAAATGTTTTTTGTGACAAACAATCATCATCACATATCTTTAATGACATCATAAAAGCATATTCTGCTCATAAATTCGTTTTGCAGCGACGAAATAAAAATCCTTAGGTTAAGTACAAGTTTCCCTCATCTTATCCCTGCTGATTATACATCAAAACCAGTTCAATTAAGCAAACTTCAAACGAACTTACTTTATACAATATTACATATATACAAATATATTGAGATAGTAGAGGAAATTCGTGACCCAGGTGGACGCTTTTAGTGCCGTTTAGTTTATTAAACTAGATGTCTTAAGTGCAAAGCTTTTAATGTTATTCTGAAAAACGTCTACGGCGCCTTATTCCTGTAAAAGAAAGACTTTTGGTTATTACACACTCTTTTTACCCATTTATTCCGATGACGTTGTTTTGCGACTATCTGTCTTAGAAGGTACGGTTGTCTTTAGTTTCTTTGGCATCCACGTTGACTGTCTTTGTTGGCTGAACTCTAGCCATTAAAACAAAATGTTACATCATTTGTTACAAAGGCTTTGATTTGCACTGTGAAGCTCGAAAACATTGACAACTAACATTCTAGTTCACATGAATTTCGGTCAACTACTGTTTGAATGTTCACATATTTGTAGCTTTAGTGTAATCACATTTAAACCTCCTATTTAAAACAATTAGTCCCTTTGATAAATTTCGATAATACAATGAGAAGACGAAAGTCATCAGAATTAAGTGATATATTAGCGCAATATATTTCGAACAATCTGATCACAGATATAATTGTTAAGACATTGTTATAAGAAAACTAAAAGGTCAACTAGACAGATTAAAGGTAAGCCGTAACAAAGAAAATAAAGTACACAAATACAATGTGATAAACACTGGATAATAAATTAGTGTTACCAGGGTAGGTTAAGGGTTTTAGTTTTCATATACAAATGTCTTAACAAGTATATGTGTGATCAGATTGTTCGAAATGTATTGCTCAAACATATCTCATAATTCTGATAACCTTCGTTTTCTCATTAAATCTCCTGATCAACCACTTAGATCTTATATATCACTAGTTTTTACACCAGGATATACAGAATTATTATCTTGGTCAATACAATGCCTGGAAGTACAGGCAAAAATTCATAAGGCTAGTTTAAAAAAGAATATATCCAAATGGAGAATGACAGATTTACTTCTGTCATTCTTAACAGAAATCTGTTTTTCTCTCTCAATATATTTGATAGCTGACATTTTGCTTACAATAAACTCAGGATTGTTTGACTATGTTTACATATTTAAGCATAAAATACTTTTCATATTTATACATTTATACATCCTAGGCGCAGCTCATTATTGAAAAAACCACTTGTTTATGCTTTATGAACTCAGTGTTAACTAATTTTACAAAAGCCAGAGAAAAAGAAACGCATTGTTTAGGATTGTGATTCACCATAGGCGGATTTCAGATTGAAAGTTATAAAAGTGTTTGAGAAGCAGTCCAACAGTTGTTTCATCCTAATTAACTTCCCTGCATTGCAAATAGATAATTTTACATGGCTTCCAACCTAGAACCTGTATATTTTCCAACGAATAAGATACTTTAGAATCACTGATTATAAGATTCAGTGGCTTATTTGAGGCAAAAGTCAATTTGCCGTTAATTCAGAATGTTAAAGCTTATTACTAAACTTGCTCAAAGTTCGACTATCACCAAAAACTCATCAACTGGTTACAAGCCAGAAATAAAGAAATAACTTTAGAATCTTGGTAAATTTAAGTGTTTATTATTGATAAAAATACATGATCAACTTAATGTATGCTACCATGTTGTTGTAGTCGTCTCACTAAAATAAGGATAAATTTTAAATGTTTTAAACAGGTGAAATACTTGAAGAACCGAATTGACGTTTTATAAATATTTTTTTTCACAAATAAATGAGAAAGTTCACTCAGAATGAAAATTGAAAAAAGAATGCAGTGGAAGATTTATTTCTACTTCTAATATATATAACGAATAATTTAATCTGCAATATTGCTACATATGACTATGTATTTCGCCTGCATTCTATGAATACCATCATTAAAATTTTGATGAATGAAAACAATTCATAAATTACGTCATTCCAAATGTGTCTTTGAGGTTTTTAATATTCCATTACTTTCCGTCCCAACGTGATCATCATTGTGAAGCATTTTTGATTATTTAATTATTTTCAGAACATAAAATGCATGATCAAGTATCAGTGTTATACAAGAAACTGCATATATATACTGTTCCAATCTATTTAGGTTAACCTTTCACTAATTATATCTGCTGCATTTTCCTAGAAAATAATTTCCTGATAAAATGGGATACTGTGGGATTTCGTTACTTATGACTCACCAGTTAACATTTTCCCAACAAAATCAATGAAATATAACTTAGAAACATGTAGACTAAAAATGGTTCTTTTTTTGTAAAATATTTTGTTGATTTTCTTTTGCGCACGTGCAGTGAAAATACTTCACTCGGCATTTAGGATTACGTTCACTTTCAAGCTGATCAATATTTCAATTAACATCGATGATTATTACCAACTATATGGGTTTTTACTTTTCCGTTGTTGGTTAATGGGCTCAATAAAGAAGTGGCTCGATATTGATTATAGTTACTAGTTTATTGAACTGAGTATTCTCAAATGATGATTCGAAGTCTGCGGTGAACATCACCTGGTTGCAAATGCAACCGACTGAGTCGCTAAATAAAACGAAACAGGGATTGTCGTTTACAACAGTATACAGTCATATGATGTTAAAAAAAACTAAGTAAGCGCTGAATTTATCAGCCTAGTAAATTAGACCAATATATGTTATGAAATATAATCTGAGAAGTACCTACCAATGTTCCACCGTGAACTTTCTGTTGACGACGTAAAAAGTGATCTCAAGTTCTTTCCTGAATGTTTATCATCACTATGAGATTATAAGTTCCAACGTCCGATTGTCTTAGCAATTTAGTAAGATTTGATTGAGACCATGAACTGACCAATGTTAGACCAACACCGAGAACCTGGAAGCACTGGACAGCCGTTTTATCCTAGCACGGAACTTTTCAGCAGTGCCCATCCACGATCCCACACGCAAAACTCAAACCTACGACCTTCGGTCACTCGCGCGAAGGCTTAACCTCCACACCACTGATAATTCAATGAGAGAAAAATAAAGATTAGAAAAGGGTAATAACATCTCAGTTTCTTGACATGTTCCGATGTAAAGTTTCTGGATTTAATTAACACCTTAGAACCTTCTATCATATCACAGCTCTTAACTTTTGTTTACATTTAATTCAGTAATAAAACCGTTGTGAACTTGTGTGATCTGTATGATTCATCTACACGTTATGCTTTCCATGCTCATTTGAAGGGTTCTTATTTAAAAGATATTTTCTTAGATATGGTAGAAACAATATTGTAGCGTAAATTTTAGCAATGAGTATCATTAATACTCTAGGCCCAATAATAAGCTGATTATTATATTATGAAAGTGTACTGATGTATTACGTAATGTTATCACTTCCAAAGATTTATTCTCAAGAAGCATTATTTATTCTATACAATAGACTAATAGGCTAATTTATCATAAAAGTGAACCCATTTTTTGAATTCAATCTAGCGGTAATTGAGCCTCCCTCTATACGGTTAAATCAAATCAATTAATCACAAGCTGAATAGTAACCCCGTGAAATGAAATTAATCGGCCGACGAACTAGCAACTGAATTAATCTGCTTACAACAGGTAGCAGGTTTTAAACTAATATCTCATATGAATAACATTAACTCTACCACACAAAATATGTTTTAGACCCGACTACATATGATTTATACTTCGTAAATCAGTTGCATTGCACTGGTTCAGATAGTGACTAGCAGTGAAATCTAGGATGCGCGTTTCGTTCTATTTGGGACTCGTCAGATGGGTGTACCTTCATCTCAGATTTGATGTTCACTTTGGAACTCGAATCCAGTACCATTCGCTTCAAACGCCATCGCGTTATACACTTAGCTACTGAGTCCTGATAGCCACTTGCTTGTGCGATGGGGTGAAGTTTTAAATTCTTTTGGTGTTGTTTAC